GCACTACGACTTTCGTTTTCTTTCCATATATGGTGGATGGGTTTACTTTATTCCCCGTGGGTTCAATACATGGTATTTGTAGAAAGTATTGTTTTCATAGAAATTTTTGAGTTTGAATTTTGGGGGGATATGTCCGTTTTGGGTCACCGACTACACAGAAAAGTGGTTTTTGAATTGATATCTCTGGCATTTGGTGGGTACAAATCTATTGTATCTCCAGGCGTTTTTTTTTTATATTTAATTTTAATTAAAAACAGAACACTCGCATCTTCAATAAACGGCACGAACGATTTTATTAAAATTTAGTACAGGGTAGCCCAATTAATTATTATTTACTAGTTGTACAAACTTGCTCTATCTTCAAACTAATATTCCACCATTGGTTATTACATATTCCATTCGTCTTTGCATGTTTTAACCATTCCTGAACATTGTTGTGGAGTAATGTCCATTAAAACAGAAGTTAAATTATAAGCAGTCCAGTTTTTATGAGTACCTTTTTGGACCACCCTGTATGTTGTAGCCCTCACAGCTATAAAAAATGGCACAACACCCATTGCTGTGGAAATTACGGTTCAAAATTATTACAGCTTTTGTGATTTCCCCCATAAAAAATCATAGTACTCCCACCACTTGCCCACGATAAGGGTTTTTGACACGCTAATAGGAGTAAGCATGTGTCAGACTGCTGATACCATTTATCGTTCTGTTGTAGTTTATGAGACATAGAAGGTTCTATAGCTTACAAAAAGCTTTTTTCTGAGTTTGGCTTGGTTTAAGCTGGGTTTTCCTAGGCGCGGAATCGGCGAGCGGAGAGAGGAACGCGGAGAGCGTATCCACTTGTCTTAGGCAATTTAATGTTACTGTTTTCCTAGAAGCGGAGCGGAATGCCATGTTAATTTCAATTCCGCTCTCCGCGTTCCTCTCTTCGCTCTCCACTTCCGCGCCTAGGAAAATCCAGCTTTAAGCTGGGTTTTCCTAGGCTTAAGGTAAGGGTATTCAACAGAAAACAAAATATGTTCAACGCACTCAGTCATAGGCTAGAGTTCGACTATAGTAATGTTATTCTGAAACTAACAACAAATATAACATGAAAATAGAGTATCTAGAGAGAGAAACAGAGTATAGAGTATCCATATTCGATGATATTTACAAGTTGACATCTTATCATGTTGAACTTGAATCAAATGTATGAATTAAAATAAACGTAGGACCTATATGAACGCGTTGGTCAGGAGCGCTGCTTCCATTCCAGAGTTATGTCACGTACACACAACTTGTAACTGAAAGGATAACTTCTTAACTACTGCTTTCAATTTCTATGGAAACATACGGTTAGTATTTTTTTAAGATATTACAATCTACTATTAGACATCTTATCCATATAGTTGTAGCATCGATTTAGAAGGGTGCAAGAAGACTCCTCATTGTAATGTAGATACAATTTAAAGTCTGTTTAAATTTGTGACATTTGAGCACTAGTGTTGACAAAATGTTTGCTATTCTTATTTACATTATATTTTTTGATTAGTGCTTTACTCTCGGTGTATACTATACGAAAAGAAATGGTTTTTAAGTGGACATTGTTATATTGTTAAAATCCTATACTGAGCAATGTTTGCTTGTATGTATGTATGCTTGCTTGCACAAATATATCGAAAAAGGCTTCGACAATTTCTTTCTAATGTTGTAAATAATTTATTTTTGGCCTAAAAACGTGTTTCATGCAGTTAAAACTGCCAACGAAAATCTAATTACGTAAACAATTATATTGAAAGTCAAAAAAGTTAAACAGTGAGCCTTATGGGTTACTACTTCGGCAACGAAATAGTGACGAAAATCGTAAACATCAACAAAAGAAAATAAATAAATATTACAGCTGATTACAACAAACCTTAAAACAAAGAGGTTTTTAATTTATGACAGAAGGACAGTGAGATGATATCCTTACTGTTGTTAGTGTAATAGTAAACCGGTGGCACAGTTGATTTATTGGGTTGGAAAGCTGAGCAAAGCTCGGTCCTCTAACTTGTTTTAAAAAGTTTTACATTTCAAGATACAAAATGCAGTAGTGAGCATCAAAAAAGCCCTCTGTGTAATACGGACTGAACCAACTTAAAATAATTGCCTTCAGATGATCTATGAGATATATATATAAAAAAAAAAAAAACGATTAATCACCAGTCTATGAATGGAAATAAACGTATTTGGATAACTCACTGGCAGAATGTGCAGATCCTAACCATAGATTAAACATACCCCTTGTGTTAGTCAATAATTTAACGTATAAAAACTGAAAGGACGATGTCTTTCAACCTGTACATAAATGTATGTCAATAGTTTTTTAAAGGTATAGTTCAATAAAATCTTGTTCCATTGTACAATTTAGTAGACAGTTTATTAAAAGAATAAATTTATTGAGCCAACGTCAGTGTGCTTCTGCACCAACGAGTGAACGTAAACTGCTTTTTACTGTAAAGACAATTGGTACTCTATTGACCAAAACCACCATGTCGTTACGTAGTGCGTGCCAGGTCGCGACGCTGCCCAACCAATCTACATTGCAAATAAGGCATGATTCTACCGGAAACGGATCTGGACCAGATGTGACAACAGTTACCGACACCAGGTGGTACCAGTGCTACCACTACCGGTAACTCTCGTGGTGTATGCCTCTAGTAATGAGATGGGTAGGTAATTAGCAAGGGGATTCCTCGGGCTTAATTGCACTTAGATACGGCTGGCGGCTTGTGCTGGTAGAGTTAAATTGACCAAACAGGAATTAAAATGAAATTACAGTGGTAAGGGATAAGTTGGTCACACGCAAGGTATTAGCGAATAACTTCGAAACCGCTCTTGATCAATTAAAAAATTGTTTTAGAAAGGACTACGACCGCCTGCATAGTAACATTATTTTTAGGTGGTCTTTGTTCATAATCTGCCTCCACTTATTGTGAGGCGGAGTTGCTTGGTTCGGAAGAGGTCTACTGGCCTAACAGAAAACTTAGAATCAAACTGATCCGGTGTTCCTAGACCATTTCCAGTTTCTGGAGTAAAATTTTCATTAGGTTAGTAAAGCTGATGGATCGAAAGGTATAATATGGAATTACTAAACACATGAGTTATCCTCTTTCTGTGTTTATGAATAGTTTAACAAATCCTCACCAATGAAAAAGCTACTTCTCATCAAGCCGAATCTTTCTCATGCCAATTGAGATGGATGCAATGTAGAGAAATTGTAGAGATTGTAATTGTGTAATTAGAGATTGAAATTGTAGAGAAATTGAGATGGATGAGATGTATTTCAATACAAATGAATAATGTAAATGTATAATGTATAATGTATAATGTGAATGTAATTGAATATTGAACAGACAACGAAGTGAGACTTCTTGAGTAGTTTGTAGCTAATTAAGATTAGCAGATGTTTTGGCCCGGACGATTTATTTTAAAATTCCTATGAAAAATGACAGCTTACCGGGTTGTAAAACATTAAAAAGCTACTGACCTTTGTCAGTCTCCTTGTGATTACCAGGCAAGCATTACTTGTCAGCTAAGCTTATGCAAAGCACATTTGTAGAATCCAATATAGTATCAAACACGTCTTAGGTGTTTCTCAGGTATGTTTTACTTAAGTGGCATTCGATACTTCACCGTAACCGTCAAAATTTTAATTTCACACCCCTCCGAATGTGTGCAGACTCTCTGACAGCCAAGTGTTCCCTTAGATTTCTCAGCCTCCCCAAATTGGTTCGCTAGGAACAAGTCAGGAGACGATCACAACAATAGGTATCATACTTGGGTCCGACATGTCGTGATTACTTCCTTGTACCAGGACAGCTGTCCTGCCAGTCCAGGTGGACCAGAAACTACAAAGCCTATTATTTTAACTTGGGTCTTTTGTCGGAAGATGTCTTCCTTTAGATCTCGTGTAGCTTTTTGTCAGCTAAGGTTGCGTTGTCAGCTGCTAAAGGAATCGATTGAAGAGGAAATGCCGCAAGAGGGAAATTGTTGGTTAGGGTAAGTGAGACATTCTGTCAAAAAATTGAGTCGTACAATGTTTAAAGGACGTTAACCCTATATGTATTGGGCCCTTGAAGCTACTAACGAAATACTTCGTCGATGTTTAGGGATGTTGATATGAAAAAGCTCATAATTTTATAGTAGAATTGTCGCCTTACCAAACTTGAGAACGCAATGAGGTCAACATCAATAATAAAAATGTAAATAATAAATGTTGAACTTTTTTAAAGGCTCAGAACTTTATGTTAGAAGATTGACATGGGTAAACAAAAAGTTACTTAAGATAGTAACCTGTTGAGTAGCAATATTTATTGGAATAAGAGTAGTATATCAACTGATCGGTAATGAAGGAAAGCATACCAGGCTACCAAATTATGACCTTTTGTGTCTTTAAAGTGTGTTCTTGGTACTTTTAACTTAGGTTGCGTTTATATTAAACACCCTGTACATACTGTGTGTTCCCAAAATAATTTAACTTAAAGGCTTATGAACTATCAGTGCACCTTTTTGACAAACCATGCAATAATGTTAGCAAGCAAACAATATTAGTATTTCAATAATTTCTCTATTACAAGATTATGGCACTACCCCCCCCCCCCCTGAAAAAAGAGTGTATAGATGAATTTGAATCTAATCACGTCATACTGAGGTGAACCATATTTATGTTGCAACATGAACTAAATCACATAACTTCTAAGGGAAATATTTTGTTGCTATTTAAAGTAGGGGTTACCTAACGTAACCTAACAAAAACGTTATACCACATTACAAATTTACAAACGCTCTACGTACTTTAACACATTCACCGGTTACACAAACCCCCCTCATACAGAGGAGTGTAACGACTGGTAGATAACGTGTTAACAGCTTTTCAAGAGCTGAACAACTACCCACACTTGATACCCAGTTCCTCTACCTCTCAGTGCAGGGACTGACTGCACAGCCTCGGCAAAACAGGAAAGAAAATCTCGAGTTAATTTTATCCCAAGGACTAAATAATGTCCATCTCCCTTTTATTTTCCATAGACTTTAGTTACAGTTGAGCTCTATAAAGTAACATATAGATCAACGTCCCCAGCTGCCAGCGAGATCGCCCCAGCCATCGGTGCTGTATGAATTGCTGTTATGGGGATACGGGTTACGGGTGTACTGAGGTTCCCGATATCTCCGCCGTCTGTACGGGTAGTCTTCGTAATCTTGCGCCTCCTGCAAAAGTCAATCATCAAGAAACATTATGAGAACATGCTTTCAAATTGTAAAAATAGATTTTTATGCTGAAAAAGCCGATACATTTAATCTCTATTTTTCTCTATTTTTGTGACTATCGGTGATACCCAAGATGACCATTTACGCTGTCTACTCCGGTAAAACTAGAGCCCTGATCAAGATTAATTTATTTGTAATTAATACATCTGTTGATAATCTGATTGGCTAATCTAACCTGGCCTAAATTATGTGAAAACTAGCACACCCGTCGTGACTTCGCTCACGAAAATCGCATTAAAAAGTTAAATGATCAACCTGAGTAGTGCCTATACTTCTTGTTTTCTTTTAATTCATTTAACTATAAAACATGTGTTATGCAGTAAAGTAAATAGTTATTTGTGTAACTAGTTGCACCGAATTTCAAACACTGTACAACAAGTTTTTAGGTTAGGTTAAATCCAAACATTGAAAGAAATGGGAAACGCTCCACCAGCTGATCGTAGTCATAAAGTGTTACCAACTTATTTTCAAGCGTACACGGATTACGTGCATGATAAAAGCACGCTGTTTTTCGTTGTTTTGTTGGAATACTGGTGTGAGCCAAAGTAAGGCTTTCTGTACTATAATCTGTGCAAGGAAGCCCACTTTGTTGGGGGACTGTAGGAAACCACTTTTTCAAGCCACAAAAATAACGTAAATATTTTAAATTTATGTAATAAAATATAACCAGCTGTTCCCTTATAATAGTGCAGATTCAAAAGTATTCATGTGTTGAAATTTAAACAAATATGTTGTCCATAAGGATAACATGGGAACTTTTAAAAGCCACTGGGGCAGAGCCCTGATGGAATTTCATGAAAACGCTTCTTATTGCACCCCTGAGGTTGATTGGAACCTCCATGCCTAAGTTGTTATGGCTTGTAGTTTTTGAGATATTGTGATCAGTGAGTGAGAGGTATTTTACTTTTATAAGTACTGTATAGATAGAAGATACAACTAGTTAACGTGATATTAGACACATTTCAATCTCCATTAGGCTTCATGCAAAAGAGGAATCTTTTGTTTAGAGAATGATTCTTTCTACAAAATATCCCTGAAACGTTTGTGTTTAAATTGTTTTCTATTCATAATGTAATTATGTCATTGATGGTAAAAAATATAAAGCAATATCTATCTAAGCTGTAAATTAAAATAGTCTAAGTAGAATGGAGACAGTAAAATATCTCACGTGGATAACTAATTAAGTGATAGGGTTCATCTTACAATTAGAAGGCCGCTGGCTTGATTCTAAGAAAAAGCAGTAGCTTTTTTAATTCGAAAAGAGGCAGAGGTGTCTTTGATCATTAGTCATGTAATAAATAGTTCTGGTTTTAAAAATCAGCTTATCTAACTAGACAGATCATCTCACTTTAATCTACTCTCACCTTATTGCCATTATAATATTACCAATTGCGTATTTTAACGCAAATATCAAGGATGAGCGTAGAACGGGTAGACTGGGACGGGTGGCGTCGTCCTGTAATCCAGCTACTAGGAGGTGTGGATATTTATAGGAATGCACTGTGGATGCGATACTCCCTGGTGTGGATTAACGTCCGCACTAGTGAGTACTACGACTATCCGCAGTACTATCCTGATAATTAGCCCAATTCGTAAATTACAAGGGAAAAATGTGGTTCGGATTCCACTATAAACTGTAGGTCCCTTAGTTGCCATTAGCTGTATGGGCTATTAATTAACAGCTGTGTCTAAGGAACATGTCGGCCTTAACTAACAAGACTACAAGATTGCGCCACTCATCCTACACTCATCCTTCACTCATATTTGGGTTAAAATACGCACATAGTGGCGTCCCCATCTTAAATAATTGATAATTGAAATTGATTGAACGTTGTGAGATGCCCTGTGTGTGTATTTTTTAACTGACTAAGGTCAGCTGTATCATTAGTCAGGACCATTGATTAAAAGCGCAATGATTAGGGACTCTGGGTCCAGTTTAGAACCATCAAAAAGCTACTAACTTTTGTCAGGATTGAACCAACAACCTTTGGATTACCGAGCACTAAAACCACCCAGCTTGCTATTATGTTTTATATACTCTTCGCTGTTTTGAAGTACAGTACTGTAACTATAATGCTAATGTAAAAATAACTGTAACCATTCATAGAAAAGCCAACTATAGATGAAAAATAAATAATTACTAGTGTCCCTGTTGCTCAATTGCCCTGTGTTGAGCAATTGCTAAGTAACAGGCGTAATTTTAAAACGAAAAACAGTCATAATTCCTGATGACTTTAAAAGATTCGACTCAAAGATGATGGAAATACTCAAGATGTACATAACAGTATTTTATACAAATTGCCTTAGTCAGAGCCGCATTTGGTTGTCCATAATAATGATTATAAATTCTAAAAATACAAACATTATTTCTATTTCTTCTCCTTGGTGGTGTTCTATGACTTTTCTACGTTTCCATAGTTTGCAAATCGGCTCTTTCAATGATTACTAAGAAATGCAGCACAGTGATTAATTCAGTTTTCTTTTTAGTATATCAAATCTTCCAGGCTCTCTCGCTTTTTCCATTGTAATATTTACGCCAACCCCAATTCAAATAGTAGATATTTCATTTCAACCAAGTCAGTAAATGTTTGTAGCAAACTGCTAAATAAGCAAACTTATTGACTGTTTACAATTAACATATGTTCTTCTTCTCACTTTTAATTTCTGACAACAGCTGGAGTTTCATAACAATTTTTCTTTCCCATGTTAATCTTATGAAGAAATACGACACTTTAAAGGGCCTCAGAGCCTCGCTCTCTAATTATTTCCCTGAACAGAAAGTGTCCTGCACAACTTCACGTTACGCTCTTTCCAATGACACCAAAAACATGTCAATCGGTTCAGTAGTTTCGGAGGAGTAATTGTCACAAAAATCCTGCTTGCGTATTAACAAGTATAGAATTGATGTCAGTGAAGGATTCGCTAGGAAACCAGGAACAAAATCCACAACGGAGGAAATAAAATACACGACAAAATGCGAAAAAAAAACTAAAGAAAGGCAGTGTTTTACATGATATTACAGAGTGTCACAAAATATAAATAATTAATTTAACCTTGTAAAGTAAAATAATAAATGTTTAAGTACACGGAGATTTCATTCAACTCACCGCAATACTCCATAGAGCGAGGACACTCAAGACGACGAACATCAGAACTGACTTATTCATCTTGGAAATATGGATTGCCACAGTTACAGGACAACAGTGAAGAAACTGACGCAGTTTTAGTAATTTATATGCTTTCTTTGCACGGATGATTTCAATTGTACAAAGCCCGTCATGAATCAAAGTCAGTCAACGGTTGTTAACGAGATACGTAATTTTATCGTTCTCACTATTACGCTTGAAGAATATTTCACAAAGAAAACATACTTGTATTTAGTTGTACAGATCTATAATAAATTAAACTTGATCTTTGTAATGTCATGCTTATTTAATTTATATAATTGCCGTAGCTTCTTACCTATTGTTTAAATCCTGAAATGGGTTAGAACAGAATTCTATTTAATTTTCTTTCCCTAATTTTTTTAAAGGGGTGTGAATTGGAGAATACATAGTATATGGAATCGTATGCAACAAATTAGCTTAAATAGTTTTAAACATTATTCCTGCAATTCAATTGATAAATTGCACCCCTGTGATAGTTGGGTTTGTTCTGCAAGCTAATTATTTTAATAAATTACTTTAAGTTACTTTAAAATTAATACATTTTGTATAAATCTGGAACTGGTATATTATTCATGTCTCGTATTTCAAAAACCTGACACCATGATGATAAATCTAATCCAAAGTGTTAAAAGTTCAAAAGTATTTCAGAACACATTTTAATATTGAACTCAATCACAACAACAACAAAATACCCCCGCCGCAGCAAACCTGCAGACTAAGCGAATTTCAACTTGTCCGATTACATTTTTACTAAAATACTTCCATAAATAAGACACATTTATTCCCAATTTAAATAACATTAGATTTAACGAGTGCTTAGGTTTGCTGCTACGGGGAGGGTAAAAAGTGTTTTTTGACCATACGTCAATAGTATAGGATGAAATAAATAAATTTGCCAAATTTTATCAATATATACCTATAAACAAGTAAAATACAACAGTTTTCATTTTCTCTATAAGAATAACATGGGAATTTTAAATTACACTATTTTTGAATTTTCTCCGTGACCTTTAGGCAAACAACAGCGCTCCAATATACTAAATTATTTATTTTTTAAGCTCTACAAAACGGTTAAAAAATAAATTGCAACATTTTTTGTTTTTAGGGTAAAAATGGGAAAAACCCATTTTTACCCCATAAACCCGCGTTTCAATGGTCCGATTATGCTAGTTTGCGAACTCGTTCGAACAAACGTAGGTTTACACGTTTGTACAAAATTTCATCAAAATCGGATCATTTTTGCTCGAGTTATCAAATATTGTCATTGAACACTCCCAAAATGCATGATATAGAAAAGTGTTCCATAAGTGGATGAAACAACAATCAAAGTGTCTTTATAACCATTATTATAGGTAATTAAATTTTTGTGAGGTTGAAATTAAATTATAAGTTAAAAGATACATACTTACATTATAATGTATTTATGAAATAGTAAAATTATTCAAATAATGTAATTATAAATTTTAATATAATAGTGTGATATAAAGAAAGGTTCTCTATAATATTACCAAGTTCATTGGACAGAGTTAAGGGGCGTCTGAAGTCACAGCTCTGTAAACATTGCTAATTGGATCGATTCAGGCAATTAACCTTAACCCTTGGCTTCCTCAGGATGTCTTAATTGGCCTGGATGGTAATAAAATAATGAAAGTAATTTTTACAATCCTATTCTCACGGGTAAGATTTGCCTACACTTTATCATTGCCTTAGTAAGTAAAATTTTTAAGAGAATGCTATGACGTGTATTTTTTATATTTGTACAATGTTAATTAAAGCTGTAAATTATCTGGGATTAAATCATCCATTGGTTAAAACATTTTACATTTTTCCACCCCATGCATGAAGTTATAAATTAATAGGCTATAAATGGACTAACTGCTTTTTGAGTAGATCAGTTAGCCCTAATCAAAGTGTTACTATGGTTTCCAGCAAGTTGTCTACAACTAGTAGAAAAGACTAGTACAATTTAAAAGTGAACAGCTGTTTCATTAAAAAGTATTATTCTCATGGCCAAAATGTAAACAACTCTGTGGAGGGATTTTTAAAGGCTTCTGGGGCAGAGTCCTAAGGGATTTTGCTAAGTTTTTCTTTTGATAACTCATCTACAGACCAAGACCTTTCTTTGGACACCTCTACCAAGTTTCTACGCCCAACCGTTCTCTCAAATTAGTGGGGACAAAGTTTCCAATCAAATATTTAGATTCCCCCATGTTAATCTTATGGGAGAAACTCCAACTTTGATGGCCTGTGGGGTAAAGCCCGAGGATTTTTACTACATGAATTGGTGAAAGGGGGCGTCTACACAAAAAATACTTTATTTTGACACGTCGTTTGTAAAAATCCGTCCATTATTACCGGAGGAGTAGTGTTTTGTAGAAATCGCCTTCACGTATTATATATAAGGATAAAAATGAATCCTTGAAGGGTGATTTTCTAAAACATATTTCTTTTAATTTCCCGCAACTACCAAACTGTATCAAACATAATAAATTTATAAATAATACGTGTAACAGTGATCTATATATATAAAATCCAATGTATGTATGTATGTTTGTTTGTTTGTTTGTCCTTTATGGACTCTGAAACCGCGTGACAGATTGTAATGAAACTTTCAGGCATTATTAAGCATTATTCAATGATGGTTTGTGTGAAGTTTGGTGCAGATCCGTCAAAAGGGCTCCGCCCTAGTGGCTCTGAAGTTTCCCATGTTAACCTTATTACCTTATTATACTCATATTTAAATGGAATTAAAGAGTCTTAACAGCTGGTTCAACTAAACAATGTGATTCTGTGATGTTCAGTAGCATTAAAAAGTTTATAGGTTTACCAACAGGGTGCAGCTAGCTTTTTTTTATATTTATGACAACAGCCAATTTGCAACCAAAAGGTGAGTGAGTGTAGCGAACGAACTTCAACATGGAGGCGAGTTAGCGTAGCGAACGAGCACCAACCTAAAAGGTGAGTGAGCGTAGCGAACGAACTTCAACCAGGACGTGATTGAGCCATGCGAACGAGCTCATCTTGAAAATGAACGAGCATTTGACATAAAACCACATTAGGCCAGCTAGTATTCTATAAAATGGCTAAGCGAAAATGTATGTTTAAATTAATAGTTTAATTGCCTTTTTGGAAACCTTCTTTTATTACTGTGACTTATCAAATTTCCCAGATATTAATATTTTCCTACGCGAATTCACCAAATAGTAGGATAAACAAAAATCCGTTTCTCAGCACCAACTATTCCCAGCTCTGTCAAGGTAGACATTGTTAACCATAATCTACGGCCTGGAAGTCTACTTCCTCATGATATACAGCGTAACCTTGCACTACAGATCAATTATAAGCTGCCCTATAGCGCTAGGTCCCGGCTAGGGGAGTTGCGTATAAATCCTTGCAACAATGTAGACCTTGCGTAAATCTCGCGGGGGTTTTGTTGAAACGTCGTCGCTTTCCTGGTTCCTGCAGACACGGTTAGTTAGGGTACTTCCTGTCTCCCGATCTCCCATTGCGGTAGGCCTTTGTGTTGTGGATTCACCTGAGAAATGTCCACATCTGGTGAAGGAACAATCCATAGAGTAATCAGGTAGGGGAAGTGATCAATACAAGTACAGTGGATTTTTAACCATTTGCTCGTTCTTGCAGTGGTGATTGGTCCCAAAAAGTATCACAATTGGTTACGGAATACTATGTATTTCTATGATCAACTAGTTGCTCTGCCCGTGCTTCGCTACGGGTTGAGAATGCAGAAAAGAATAATTTGGTTTATTAAATATGAGTCAACAGCATAAGTGTAAACGTGTCATTGTTACTGTATTATACATTGTTTTATTTACTTTCAGCATTATAGCTTTTTTGATAGTAATTTTAAAAGATAGTGTACGAATTGCCTGGTTATTATTCATAGTTGCTTTGAACAAAGTTTGATAATTTTGAAAATTATTGTATTCAATTTGTTGGAATCACACATCCTAAAAATTGTATTGTTGATTTTATTGGTTGTTTTCTTTTTTGGTGTAAAAATCTGTATACATAAAATAAATGGCATAAAATCAAAATACAACTGTTTGCAAGATGACGCCACCGGTCCGTGAAGACATCTTGAACAATCGCTCTCCAGTTTCACCTCTTGCATGACGCAGCAAATGTTACTCACTCATGATAATAGAGCCATAATGATTTGTCTCTTGAACGAGCACACCATCGATATATCATCTCAGCACCATCAATGATAGTTTCGGCACAATTATACAGGCTTAAGTGAACATTTCATTAGACTCCAGGGGCGAACACACCCGTGCACATGGATAATGCCGTCCCCTCGTCTTACAGCTGTTTTTGCAACCCCATGGGAAGGCTGGGTGATCTGGCTTAAGGGCAAAGGGTGATCTTTATTTTTTTAATGAGTTTTTGCGTCAGCTATGAGTTTGAACAGTTTTTTCGGCATTTGTGTGTTCGAAAAGCAGCAATGTAGTTAAAGTTCCACGCTTTCGTATCAAAAGAAGTGGTAAATGTGCATATACTGTAGTTTAAAGACTAACGGTCAATAGTGCAAAAGGATCATGTGTAAGGAAATCTCTCAACACAGTGCCATTAATATTAATAATGAAGAATTCAATACATTTTTCAAAAACATTGGTAAAGTAACCAAAGTTAACAAATCATCTTTTGAAACATTGTACAGTTATAATTATAAATTTTTACACGATACAAATAAAGAAGGGGTCATAAAAACTATAAACGATATGAAATCCTCTACCTCTTGTGGCTTTGATGAGATTTCTTCTAAAAATTTTAAATTTTGCACTTCAGAACTGTCTACTCCTGTGACGTATTTAATAAATCAGTCTATAACTAATGGTAAGTTTCCACAATTATTAAAAACTTCCAAAGTTATACCAGTTTTTGAAGCTGGTGATTCTCAAAGTGCAAGCAATAACAGACCAATATCTACCCTCTCTTCATTCAGCAAAATACTGTATTTGAAAAAATAATTCTGAATAGACTTTTATCATTTCTAAAAAAATAACATATTATCAAACAATTGAATTGGATTTCAAAAAGGAAATACCGTATCCACCACAAACGCTATATTTGAATAATGTAATGGCGCTATTTTTGGATAAAAAAACATTCGATATGGTATGTCATTAAAACTTTTAACAAAATTAAACAATATTGGAATA